GCATTAACCGCTTCCCTGGGATTCAGAAATTCATAATAGATTACGCCTTCCATATCCCACAAAATGCATAGAATTATCTTCTTCCGCTTTGGTGTCGCTGTTGAAGATTGGCCAAAGTCCACTTCCTTCGTTTCAGATTTTCGTCCACTTTTCGTTCTCAGTCGCGATACGCCACAAAAAGCTCTTCTTTTTATGTTTAGCGAGCAAGGAAGTGCAAATATTCAAGTGATTTAACTTTAAGCTCTCTGATAATTGATGAGGCATTCATTTTCCTTCCTTATGGATTTTCCCCAGGGCACTTAGCCGCCTCGAAACGGGTTGATTCGTCTACACCGAAGACTACTGAGCGTCTGTGATTTTCCAGATGATTGTCCAGATTTTCATCTAATAACTCCTGCAGTTCCTCGTCGTCAAATTTTTTTCGGCTGCCCTGAGCGTTTCTTGCCTTAAACTTCAATATCACCTTCTTCGAAATGTTGCATCCATTTTTTACACGTTCTTCCCGAAAGAGCACTTCGCATAAGTGTCCAGAAGCAATCGATGAGCTTCAGCTCTTCGATTCTGGAATGTTTTTTCCAGTCAAAGTAATGAAGAAGCACTTCATCGCGTTCCATATTCGCTTCACTCCTTATCACCGTTTCCTGTACATAGAAACGACCTTGACCTAGAATGTTGTTTACAAACGACGAGATTTATAACCTCTAAAATGTAACGCTACGGCATGAACTAAAGTAACATCCCGATCCATCTGTTCCCAACGGCACGAATTAATGTAATCTCCTAAAGTGTACATGTTGCGCGTAGAAGGAAATAAGTCGGACGTCGCTGGGGCAAAGTGTAAATCGCCAAACCTACTGTGGAACACACGTGTGTAACACGCAGAATCTAACGGAATCGAAAGAATTAATAGGGTAGAAGGTGGTCGTCCGAAGGGAGATCCAGCGAATCAATGCGAGGCGAGTGATGCGTAGCGCGCGGCATTAGATCCGACGCGACGTATTAATAGACGCGGCGAGAGCGCGCGTTCAAATGTCGGACGCGCTCTCGAACGGCATTCCGTAGCGAAGTCGTATATCTTGCCGTCGGAGGTGGGATCGCCGATAATCGAGATCCAAAGAGCGTTATAGTTGGCTTTAATGCCGGGTATTCAGAGTGAGGTACAGTGTGTCCCGACACTCGACTTGGGCAGGTTCCAAGGTCCTCGCCGCCTCCCAGTTTATACGTATATAACACACGTACACGCGCACGCGCATTCACACACGCGCTGGACGTTCGGGACGGTAACCACCGGTGCGCCCCGGGCTCCACCTTGACGTGTTCATGCACCGGTCCTCTCGTAAACTTCTGGAGTGCTCCTGCCGCCTCCTTGGCTCTCTCGTTCTTTCCCTCCGCCTCCCCTATTTGTTGCCCCCTTCGTAAAACCTCGGACGAAGTGGAAGATTGCTCGAACCACCCGCTCACCTCTTGATGTCTCGTTCTTTCTCTTTCTTCCTATCTTGCCTCTTCCCTGTGCCTCTCACCCCTTTCCTTTCTCTCTTATTTTCATCGTCTTCTTCTTCGCCGTCGTCTTCTTCTTCTTCTTCTTCTTCTTCTTCTTCTTCTTCTTCTTCTTCTTCTTCGTCTTCCTCTTCCTCCGTAACGGCGGCCGATTTTGCTTCACTTGGCCGTGGCGGATCTCCCTGTACCGCATTGAACTCGATGTGCCAGCAGATACGACCTTTACGATCGGAGGCCGCTTATCCTTCGCGAATAATAAGATCAAAAGGGCGGGCCTGCAGCCCAAGGGAGAAGCTCCTGTCTCGAAGGGCGGGTTACGTTTCACGCGCGGAACGCGTAAACGAAAAGTCACGCGCGACCGAGCAGTCGAGATGAAAGTTTAACGAGAATGCTCGGCGACTGCAACTTGCAGCTGCGTTTAATGCGTATCGATATTTCGCACGCTCTCTGTCTCTCTCTGTCTCTCTCTCTCTCTCTCTCTCTCTCTCTCTCTCTCTCTCTCTCTCTCTCTCTCTCTCTCTCTCTCTCCTCCGCCCTTTCTCTTTGCGATTGATTGATAGATCTCCGTTACATCACTGACGCACTGTTACTTTACGACGGACAGGCAAGCGTGGTTCTCACACGTTGAGAATCAGTCGGCACTCTGCGAATACATGAACATCCGCGTTCCGAAACCTGCTGAGAAGGAACGCAGAAGACGTACGTAGTTGCAGCGTAACACATACGATCCCGTAAAAAGCAGTCGTACGATCCGGCGAACGTTCCTTTATGTGACTTTATGCCGTTCTGACATGCAATATCGATGACAAATGGCAAAGTAGCTACCTTATGTCCTCTTAAACATACAATAAGACGAAGTAGCGAGCGAGCGGGCGAGCGAGGACACCCATTGTATTTGCCGAAGACCAAAGGAATGATCGCGAACGACCATTATTTTCGCTACGGCTCTCGCAAATGGCTGGGTGGTCCGACGCGTTCGCGTACGTGTCCATTCGCGACGCGTATTTGCCTGGCTTTAAGATACTTCCATCGGTCCAATTTTCCGCAAGAATGTGACACGTAGCAATCTTGGTAACCTCGGGGCTGCGCCGCGCAATTTATTGGCCACCGAGTGCAGCTTCGACGATTTATCTTCCCCCTGCGCACCCCATCTCTTTTCCTTCCCCCCTCTCTCATTCTCTCTCTCTCTCTCTCTCTCTCTCTCTCTTCGCCATCACGCGCCATGTCCCTTTCTTTCTTTCTTTCTTCCTTTCTCTCGTTACGTTTCCTATCTTTTTTTCTTTTTCTCGCTCTTTGCATCCTCCTCTCTTCAGCTTCTCCTTTTTCTCATTCTCTCTCTCTTTCTCTCTCTTTCCTGCCCTCTTTTACCATCTCAGCCATCCCTTTCGATCGAGTTGAGTCAACGTTGGAACGTTATTTTCTCTCTCTCTCTCTCTCTCTCTCTCTCTGTGTGTGTGTGTGTGTGTGCGCGCGCGCGCTTCTTTCTCTCCCCCTTCCAACCTGAACTTTGATATCTCAAACTTTCGACCTCGATATTTTGCTGTATCGACAGTTTGCCGAACTACAAACTCGCGGCCTTGTGAATAATTTAACGCGCAATATTTTGTAAAATTCGCGCGCGCTCGTCGAACTAGGTGAACAGGGGAAGACCTCGAGCGTCGTCCGCATTAGTTTCGACAAACGACCGACTAGCCTCATTAGTATGTCGCGGGGCAACTGCATTAATATCGTTAGTGCGCGTGTTCTCGCGCGGGTTGTGAGGCAGACGTTCATTCCGCCGTTCTGCCGGCAGAAATAGTTCAGGTCGCGGGAGTAACAAGGAACTTCCGTCGCGTGCGCAGCTATTTTCAGGCGCGATTACAATTTCATTAGGCAAACGTCTGTGACATCTCGTGACGCAGTGCATTTAATCAGCGCATTTTTAATTCGTCCCGTCGAGGACGAATTACGCGACGGTCGAGCCGCCACTTGTGTGATAAGATCTTCCTCTCCGCGAGCATTCAATTCCGCATTCAATGCAGAAGCACCGCGCTTGCGAGCAAAAATAATCGCGAACAGTTCTCGGCTGTATGATCGTCGACATGACCGCTGCGAGTTCTCCGCGGAGTCGCTAGAAAAGCTGGAGGAGCTGTGAAGCAGCTCGCGGTGCTCCGCCATCGACATCGGCATCCGCGTGCGTCGAAATAGATAACGAGTACGAATGGGCATCGGGGAATTTTTTAGGCCACGGTCAAGTGCACGTTGCACGGCAAAAAGGAAAGAAAATGGAGATCTGCAGGTGTAACGCCCGCAGCGACCGGGCGGATAAAATGCACGCCAGGCTCTCTCTCTCTCTCTCTCTCTCTCTCTCGCAGGCAGGCGCGCCTCGGCGGCAGCACCGAGGGAACGCACCGCTCGCGATGCCCCAGGCTCGATAAAAAATGCAGTGATCACATTTCGGCAGAGACTCCGGAATCTCCCAACTATCTCGCCTTCTTTGATTCTCACCTCCTCGCGCCTTCGTTCGCCTCCCTCCCGATCGGCACGATACATACTACCGCTCGTCGTTCGCCGCCCCTCGGCGGCAACGCACACTCGGCATACGTATCGCCTTTAATATTTTTTTACGACGCGCTTTGATGTAATCGTTCCCCTCGAAGAATTACCTTCGGTCAGGTGGATCAGCCCCAACCGACGAGTCGACGAACCTTCGAAGCCGGCGATAGTTTCGGGCGATTTCGCCCGGCCACGACGACGTGGCGGCGGCGGCGACGGCGGAGGCAGAGACGAGATCGATCCGAATGATTTCGCCTCGTTAGCGTAACACACCGCTCGCTTTTTCTGCGTAGCTCATAACCGCGAGGCGCACGCTCGGCTGTCGCATTAACCTCTCATCGGCTCCCTACCCCTTATCTCCGAGGAGCAATCTGAAAAAGCCCGCCGCCGCCGCCGCGCGCGCCGGTTGCGGGAGCTAGGAACAAAAATCGCATACTCGCCGCCGTGCTCGAATTACGTGCAACAGGTGGTTCACAAGTAAGTAGAGCACGAGAGATGCGACGCGAATCCGATTCGTACTCGCGATTTTCGGCGCGACGTCCCCTTCGGATTGCTGGCCGCCGTTGCCGATCGATCGCGCCGCCGGTTTAAACCCCGCACGCGAGGGATCCGGTCGATCAGCGTCGGAAATTAATCGCGCGCCTCAGATAGATGAAGCTGATAATTCGGCGAGCCGGGAAAGTGCACGAAATATTTAAGGGCGCGTATTAATCGTGCGGAAAGTAGCTGGAAAAGTAATCAAGCGGCTGAGTTATCTGGACCGAGATGAATCAGGGTCTCGTTAAAAATTCAGAGAAATAATTAACATCCACGTACGGCGAACGTGTGAAATTTCCTTCTCGCTTACTTCTCATAGTCACACGCCTCGTCTCGTGTCGTCGTCTCCGTCTCGATTAAATAGAGCAAGAGAGGACACGGCATCTCTCGGCCGGTCTGACGGAGGATCTTTTTTTGCGTTATCCTCGCAGCTCTGTCAATACGAGCGCAACGTCCGAGATCCCGGGCGGCAGGTCGAGCTGCGGCAAGTGTCTGGACGAGATGAGACTTATGCAGAGGTTAGCGATCAGCGGGCTGCTGTCCGTGATCTTGATCCTCCTCATCACCGGGACGTTCGTGTCGCGACGCGACCTCGCGAACGTCGTCGATCGCGGCGTCGCGCCGGAGGAGCGCAACGAGCAGACCAATCCAGCCTGGGTGCAGGACAACGCGGTGCCCGGCCAGGACGAGCCCGAAATCGACGACAAGGATAAGGACAAGGAGCGGCGACTGGACGCCAAGCATCGGCAGTCCCAGCCGTCGGCGGTCGGCCCACCTTCCGCGTCTGTTCCTGGCGTTTACGTCATTAGATCGCCCAATCCGCCGTTGGACGATGTGACTAATCAACGGCGTGAGAAAGTCAAAGAGGTAAGATCGCAGATCCCGCTTTTGCATGCGCTTGGCGTAGCGTGAGATTGGGAGAGGTAACTCGAGTTCTGCGCACAACGTTAGATTAGAGCTGCCCATTGGAGGTAAGTGGGATTTTATTGTATTCAGTTTTTATGCTAATATTAAGGGGACTGGAGAGTCAGATTGCTGAAAAATCGTATTTGTTTTTAGTAATATTTTGTGACGAACTGAATAAATGTGCAAGAATGAAAATTTTAGGTATACGAGGTGTGGCTATAAAATAACAAGACTATTGCTGCGAAACATTTTACTTTGAATTTATACATTTTTAGTTATTATCACCTTTAATATAGACCCTTCCTTTATCCCTACAATTCGCTACCCCCTACATTATCGCTCCATGCGAATTTTCCATTGTTCGAAACAGTGCCGGAAGTCTTCTTCTGTGAGCTCCTTCATGACGCGTGCCGCTTTTTCTTTCACAGCTTCAACGGACTGAAATCTTGTCCCTTTTAATGCAGATTTGACCTTGGGAAATAGATAAAAGTCGCATGGTGCAAGGTCTGGCGAATAAGAGGGATGGTCTAACACTGGGATGTTGCACTTGGCTAGAAACGTCTTGACAGACAATGCAGAATGAGCCGGCGCGTTGTCTTGATGGAGAACCCATGACTTGTTCTTCCACAATTCGAGTGGTTTTTTCTTATTCTTTCACGGAGTTGAGCAAGAACCTCAAGGTATTAATGTTGATTAATAGTTTGACCTTCTGGAACCCAGTGAAGGTACACAATCCCATGAATATCGGAAAAAACAATCATCATCGCTTTGAATTTTGATTTGCTCATTCGAGCTTTTTTAACTCTCGGTGAAGTTGGGCCCTTCCAATGCATACATTGGTGCTTAGTTTCAGGATCATAAGTGAAAAACCAAAATTCGTCACATATTATCACTCTTTCCAAGAAGTTCGGGTCATTTTCAATCGCATTCAAAGTGTCAGTACAAACATTTTCGCGAGCTTCTTTTTGTTCAATCGCGAGAATTTTAGGCACCATTTTCGCATACTTTTTGTATATTAACGTTGTTATGTAAAATTTGCCTTACGCATTCTTTGTCAATTCCTACAGTTTCAGTAATCACACGAATAGTTAATCAACGGTCAGATCGAATCAGATTACCGACTTTTTCAATATTTTCATCCGTTTTTGACGTGGAAGGGCGACCCGGGCGTGAATCATCTTCAACGTCTTCTCGGCCATCTTGGAAACGCTTAAACTACTCAAAAACTCGCGCACGTGATAAACATTCATTGCCATACACTTCTTTTAATAAAAGATAAGTTTCAGTAGCGCTTTTTCCAAGTTTCATGTGAAATTTCACGACGATTCGTTGCTCTATTATTACACTTATCATTTTTCCGGCAAAACAAAACAACAGCTCTTATACAAACGAAGGCCACGGCCAGGCTAATTTGTTTACAGACACGGGAGGCGCCGCATTCAAAAGAGAAGGCTTCACGCTACACAGCTGTCGGTCGTTCGCGTTTGGCGCATGCGTACTTCTTCTGTGGAAGCATCAGTCTCGTTATTTTATAGCCACATCTCATATTTATACAACATATGAAGAGTAGAAAAATTTTGTTCATTAAGAAATACTTATATAAATATACGATATATATAGCTGAAATATACTCTCCTTTTTTTTCAAGTTGTCGTTTTTGCAGTAATATCTCGGCTCTCGATGGTCCGATCAGAGCGAATTTTAGCTAGAAATCTTGAGGAGGCTTATCATTATCCGGTGAACCACTACAAAAAGAATTGAACAAAATTAACAAAATGGCAGCTATTATTAGGAAAAAATCCAAATTTTCAGTTCTTTTACAATAAAAAAATTAATATCTTGAAATGAAATATTTTGATGTAATTGTCCATGGTTCATCTGAGAGCGAGATGAACAAATATTATTGCTTTAAAATTTCAAATCGATACGAAGCTTAATTTCGGAGAAATCATTGCAAAAGTTGAACAATAAAATTTCGAGAAAAACGCGTTTAAAATTTAAATGGAAGTACATTTATATGAGTATTTGTTGATAAACAAAATTTTTCCACTCTTCATATGTTATATAAATATAAAATTTTTATTCTTGCACATTTATTCAGTTCGTCACAAAATATTATCAGAAACAAGCACGATTTTTCAGTAATCTGACCCTCCAGTCCCCTTAATCGCGCCCCGTAAACACGTAATATGCGACACGGCTTCCGTGTGTTCGGAAACGCGCCTGGACGGCGATTTGGCGTTTTGCGTGCTGTACGCGCTGCAAAGGACGAAAAACGTAGTTCAGGGTGAAACGTTCAGGGTGAAACAATTTCCTGCGCTTAAAACGCGCATTCACAGCTACGCGGATTTTTTTCGAACAGTCATTCTGCCCAACCCCGTGACGTTGTCGCGCGACTCGCCGCGAAAGGAGCGGAAATTAAAGGGGATTCCAAGGGAAAACCGATGGATCTTTTGTTTCGCTCGCCGCATCTATATTCGCAGTTTGAATCACATTAACGCACGGCTAAAGCGAAAATAGGAGGAAATCAGGCCGACGAGCTGTGGATTAATAGAATTTCCTTGAACGAGACGCTCCTCTCTCTCTCTCTCTCTCTCTCTCTCTCTCTCTCTCTCTCTCTCTCTCTCTCTCTCTCTCTCTCTCTCCCCCTCTCTCTCTCTCTCTCTCTTTCTCTCTCTTTCTCTCTTTTTCGCGAAGAAACAATTGGAATCAAGATTGACGGGAGCATTCCGATAAATTGCACGAAAATTCGCTCGTGCTTTAAATTCCGACGTTTCGGACGTTCTTATCGAAAGGCGCGTCTGTCTTATATTATCATTAATATAATTTCTTTTCGTCCCTTGAGTTATTAATCTTGTAAATATTATGCATCAAACGATGCGCACACAGCCGGGATACGTTTCAACATGAAACATACACGAAATTGTATATTCATGAAAATATAAATTAATGTTTGCGAGAGGGGGAAATTAATTCGCAGCGAGGTAGGAAAATGGAGAGTGCTGCATCAATGATGCAGGAGAAACTTCCAATTCTCTCGGCGGTGAAATTAATCAGTTTCCGCGGTCGCATCGCGTAGTGCGTTACCGAGATCTGCAAATGGAGTCCGATCGATTAACTTTCGAGCAACCGACAGCCGACAAACGGGAGTGGAAAAGCGCGCGCTTGCGAGTGACGGATAATTGTCTTGTAAAGTGTCAAACTGGATTGCTCGGGATGCGCCATGTTCTATAAACGTATTCTAGTATGACTAAGTTGATCCGCAATGTAACCATCTCAATTTGGAGTTCGAGCTTTGCTCCGTACATGACGTGTGACATGTAACATATGACGAAGTAACAGGCCGTCGAAGAAAAGGTCCCGTCGCATCGCGATGGACAACTTGATTGACTCGCGATCGTGTCGTCGTAAAATGCGGATGTTTCTATCTTTATCTCATATTTAGAACCGAATGATGGAACCGTTGAGATAATTCCGTTAGAGAGGAGAGAGAGAGAGAGAGAGAGAGAGAGAGAGAGAGAAATATTTGAACACGTGACTTGTGATCGATACGTCCTCGATTTTATTTTTCATACGGCCTTGAGCGAGCGTTAAGGGGGGAATCTTGTCTGTAGGATCAAAAGAAATTTTTTTATTACATTTTTTGAAAATACATATTATTAAGAATTCATTCTAAAATCCGTATCGAAAAATTCAGAAAATTACAGAAGTTACAACTCATTATTCGAAGCAGCGCACAAGTCAAAATCAGAGCGCTCACTGGGTCTTTCAAAGTTTCGTCATACAATTGCTGTAGAAACAATCTTACGAAACCTAGGAATGTAAAAAAAAGTTTCATGAAGTCGAGAAGAATTCATGATATGGACCTGGAATTGCCAATTAGGCTGAAACTTACGTGAATACTAGAAGTATGATTGAATAGTACATGAAACTTTAAACGTGTTTTTTTCAAAATGACTTTGCTTTAATTGGCTCCCACGATTTGAGATAAACTAATGAACCGATCGACTTCAGCATGTAGTTACATATTCGAAACGTGTCTCTTTATCGCGTGAACTAACGAAATTAAAAAATATTAATTTTTTATATTTATTTTTAATGTAAAATTGTCGATTTTTATGGCGATTTTTCAAATTTTTCAAATAATTTTTAAATGCCTTAAAATTATAGAAAAAGTTGTTCCCTAATTTTTATTTCCCTAATTTAGACGATAACGGCAAGTTCGTAGATTAATTATCTTACTTACATTTTTGTCCCAGTTCACCGTATCTCGAGATTTTATGGGAGCCGTGAAACGGCGCCCGCCTAAACATGTCATGTTATTTTTGTGTATCTGCTACATTATTATTCATATAACACTATCAAAATTCATTCTTACAAGTTAAATATATATTATTATTTCTAGCAAGTTTGAAATCAATCGTCCGCTTAATTTCCGAAACAAAAATTCGTGAAAATAGCCTTTCTTTGGCCTATAGACAGGAATCATCCCTTGACTTGCAACTCCCTGAAAATGCGGTTTTGCGCGAGCTTGCAAAGGATCTCTCTGTACGGGCATCTTCTTGCTCATGAATTTAAAAATTGATTGTTTCAGCTGAGAGTTACATAAATTATTCACGCGCTTTCACGTTCGAATATGATACGCTTTGAACGATGGGAAAACAGAGAGCGTAAAACGCGGAAACGTGGAAAATTTCCTCCCTCCTTCGAGCAATCGCTTTCAATAAATAGAGATGTTCCTCTTGTCGGGAGAAGAATCGTAATGTGATTATTGCTCCGGTGAAACGACTACCGCCGTTTTCAAGACACACGCGAAGGCGAAACATGATACATAAATAGCCGGGTAAGAAAAAGGAACGGCATAAACGCGCGTAACCATAATTCACGTTGTTGCGCCGCGCGGCTGTTGCATTACAAGGGTTTCTTCGCGGTAAACTGACTCACGGTTTGATAATGCCCGA